AATTTTTACTGAAGAAAAAAAAACCTTGCTTTCGTGAAACATTTTCACGGAAAAAAAAAACATTTCTTTCGTGAGAAATGTTCACGAAAAAGCAATGTTAAGTTCAAAATCTAATGTTTTGCCTTAAGGGCGCCGCTGGAGTTTCCAGGGCCAACATGCTGGGTTTTTCAAATCAGATTTTCACGAAAAGATTCCTTTTCGTGTAGACTCCACACGAAAAAAAACCTTTCGTGAGAAATTTTCACGAACAAATATTTTTGCGTGAAACATTTTCACAAACAGAAGCAATTTTTCGTGAAACATATTCACGAAAAACACATGTTAAGTTCAAAATCCAATGTTTTGCTTTAAGGGCGCCGCTGGAGTTTCCAGGGCCAAAATGCTGGGTTTTTCAGATCAGATTTTCACGAAAAGATTCCTTTTCGTGTATACACACAAAAAAAACCGTTCGTGAGAAATTTTCACGAAAAAAACATTTTTTCGTGAAACATTTTCACGAAAAAAAAAAAAAAACAATTTTTCGTGAGAAATGTTCACGAAAAAGCCATGTTAAGTTCAAAATCCAATGTTTTGCCTTAAGGGCGCCGCTGGAGTTTCCAGGGCCAACATGCTGGGTTTTTCAAATCAGATTTTCACGAAAAGATTCCTTTTCGTGTAGACTCCACACGAAAAAAAAACCTTTCGTGAGAAATTTTCACGAAAAACAATTTTTTCGTGAAGCATTTTCACGAAAAAAAATATTTTTTTTCGTGAGAAATGTTCACGAAAAAGGCATGTTAAGTTCAAAATCCAATGTTTTGCCTTAAGGGCGCCGCTGGAGTTTCCAGGGCCAACATGCTGGGTTTTTCAAATCAGATTTTCACGAAAAGATTCCTTTTCGTGTAGATTCCACACGAAAGAAACCTTTCGTTAGAAATTTTCACGAAACAGTATTGTTTCGTGAAACATTTTCAGGAAAAAAAGCATTTTTTCATGAGAAATGTTCACGAAAAAACCATGTAAAATTCAAAATCCAATGTGTTTACCTTAAAGGCGCCGCTGGAGTTTCCAGGGCCAATATGCTGGGTTTTCCAAATGAGATGTTCACGAAAAGATTCCTTTTCGTGTAGAATTCTCACGAAAAAAATCTTTCGTGCGAAATTTTCACGAAAACAAAAAAACATTTTTTTCGTGAAGCCTTTTCACGAGAAAAAAATAGTTTTGCTTAAGAATTTTTCACGAAAAAGCAATATTTCAAAATCGTTTTGCACCAGATATCTTCACGAAGCGAATCTCACACGAAAAATTTTTGTCGTGAGAAATGTTTTCGAAACAAACGCATTTTTTCGTGCGACCTCTTCACAACATAACTTTTATGTTAATTTCAAAAAAAAAAAAAAACGATTTTTTGTTTGCTTGCACGCCGCTGCAGACATTGCTTTTCGTGTAAAATTCGCACGGGAATTTGTTCCGTGAGAAATTCCAGCGGTATTCCGTGAGAAATAATGTTGGTTTGTTTTGCGAAATCGTCTCACCAGACAACATACATAAAACTCAGCATTTCTTTAAAATCTGAGCACCCGCATGCGAAAAAAAAACAACAGAGTTTGTAACGAACATAACTTTCGTCTTGCAACCTTTATCGCGAAACAATTTTCTTGGGGTGCGACAGCAAGCCGTGCATCCTGGGTGCCGTAACTTCACCGTGGCCACACCGCGCCTCTGCCATTTCTGAGCTGCAGCTCTCCCGAGGCGCTGCAGCTTGGCCCAGCCCAGCTGTCGATCCTCCAGGCAGCTTCGGGATGCGCCCCCTGTCCCCGGGAGATGCCATGGCCCGCATCCATGCCGCATCCAATGGCGGATCGTCCTCGAAGCTGACGCGGGCATGCCAGCAGATTCCCGGCCTCGACCTGGCCCTAGGCGCGACGCCCCGCCGGCGCCGTCGCCCTTCCGAACGCGACCCTGCAGACCGCGGCTCGAGGCGCAAGAGGGGGATTGGGCGCCCCAGGCGTCTACTCGGCCGCGAGAGGCCGACCAGCCTCCCGCCTGCTTGCTGGCGTCCCGCCATGCCCCAGTCGGCGAGGGCGCCCGTGGCCAGCGGGCCAGGCACGCCCGCGCCCTCGCGGCCCAGCTCGGCCGGGCCGCCGGCGTCGACGACGGCCCCTCTGGCGAGCTCGCGCCCCCGGCTGCCGCTGGCACCTCCCTCGCGCCAGAGGTGCCGCGAGCGACCTGCGTCGAGCCCGCCGCTGCCCGACCGCGGGATCGCGGCGCGTCTTGACTGCGCTCTCGAGGCGTACCGCGAAGAAACTTCAGGAGAACACGTACGGGGGCATAGCCAACTTGTTCGACCTGCGGTGCGCGACGGCCGGCACGGCGACCAACCCCATTCAGTTGCAGCTAGACGCAGCGGTGATGGGCCACCTGCGCGAGCAGTTCTCCCAGGGCCCCCCGAGCCTCGCAGGGCCCCTGCTGGCCGCCCCGACGCGTTGCGGCAGGGCCTGTCGCCCGAGGCACCGGAGCTCCCGCGCGCAAGGCGGGCCCCCCCGGGCATGGCGCAGGCGGCGCCCCATCGCTCGCGCCGGCCCCTTCCGCGGCCGTTCGTTGCGTTGGTAGCGAGCGCCCTCGTCGCCCAGACCTTTGGGATCGCGGCGGCCGCGACGCCCCATGCTTCGCGATCGGCGTCGCGGGGCGCGCGCGGGCGGGCGGCCTCCTGACCCGCCTCCACGCCGGCCGCGGCGCCGCGCTGCCGCTGCTCGACCTGGCGCGCGCGACCTGGGTTGCCCTGTTCTCCCTGGCCGCGGTCGACGCGAGCCTCGGCGCTCTGAGGCCGCCCGAGAAGAGCGGCCTCTTGCCCGCGCAACCGCTGTGGGCCCCCGAGATCGCCCAGCGCCGCGCCCCCGCCGCAGCGGCCAGCATCAACGACGGGATCTTGAAGATGCCGCCCATCGGGTGGTGCGGGGCGGGCGACAGATTACGCTCGAGCTTTTCTCTGGCTGTGGCCACGTTGCTAGTGCCTGGCGCCGCTCCGCTGTCCTTTAGATTTAGATGATCAAGATAGATATGCGCCATGGGCCTCAGTTCGACTAGCTTAATGACGGGCTCATGCGCAAAATTCGGGGCTGAACGCGCGCTGATCTGGTCGCGGCTGTCTGGCAGGCCCCCCGCTGCTCTTTCTGGGCCCCCTGGTGCCTTTTCTCGCCCGTTCGGTCCCGGGCCTCCCTTCTCGGCTTTCCCTCTCTTCCTCCTTCAGACCAGCGCGTCGTCAACCTGGCCAATCGGATGTTTGAAGTTGCTTCGAGCCTCCTCGACCTGTGTAGAAAATTAGGCGTCCCATGCGTTGTAGAGAACCCTCTCGTGAGCCTCTCGTGGAACGTGAAAACGTTCGAGGATCTAGCCAAGGCTCGACAGGTCAACGCATGTGTCACTGACTACTGCTCTTGGGGGACCCCGTGTCGCAATCGGACCATTTCTTTTGTGTTCGCATCTCGTGCAGTCATCTGGAAGTTGTCGAGACCGATGCGTCTGTTCTTATTGTGGCAAGCGGCACGTGGAAATCATCGGCAATCACCGTTGTGGCATCAAATGCAGCAACCTTGCATAGCCATACTAACAGTCGTTCTGCGCCGTTTTTGTTCGCTGTTTTGCTGACGCTCTCTCTCGCCCGTTCCTTAAGTCGTACGTCTAATATCAATATCGAAGGATGCGGCCAGAGTGTGCTTTGGAACAAAATTTGAGGTCGAGTTGCTGTGTGTGTGTGTGTGTGTGACCCCGCTGTCTGGCCTCATGTTTTATGCGTCCTGGCTGCCTGGCGAGCTTCTTTTGGAGTGGCGTTTTGGCGCGCACTTGGCCTTCAGTGAAGCAGAGCTAACATGCCAAGTGTTGATCACGTTCTTGTGAGTCTGATGTCTCAGGGATTGGCCGTCGGGGGTCGCGGCGTCTTGATCCGTGACCTCGATGGCTCAGGCGCCCACCCTAGTATCCCCCCCTGCGGATCTGCACAGAGGTCTCGGAGGTCGGGTTGCTTGGCGTGGGGTGCCCCACTGTCCGGCCTCTTGTTTTCCGTGTCCCGGCTGCCGGGTGAGTTTCTATTTGAGTGGCGTTTTAGCGCTCAGTGGGCCTTGAGGAAAACAGAGGTCACGTGTGTATGCAACTGTTCGTTCCTCTACTTCAAGGCATCAGCCCTGGAGACAGCGATCTTCAAGATGAGCTTGATGGGGGCCTCCTCGTCCTCCACCCTCAGGGGCCGAAGAGGAATGACGACTCGGAGCTAGCAGCCTCCAGTGCAGGGTCGATGCCGATGGATCTTCGCCCACGCTGGCAGATGACTTCGCGAGCAAAATCTGGAGGATTTGCTAATCGAAGCGCAATCGTTTCTGGGACTTCAGTGCTCCCTCCGTCCCCCCTGTGAAGAAGAAACAGCTGCGTAAACATAAATTTTCGGAGCTCCGCTCGAGTTTCTTGGATCGGCGCTGGCCCCGCCTCTTGGCGTGCCGGGTGCGCCAGGGGCGGCACAGGGGGCGCTGCCAGGGGGGGCCCGACGCCGATCCATGCAATCCGCGCGGCGCACTATTTGTGTTTCTGTGCAGTTGCAGTATTGTTTTACCTCCACTTCGGCTTAATTCCATTTAATCCAGCTTCATCCTGGGCTCAATCCAGCCCGAATCCGGCTCAATGGTACCTTACTCGGGCTTAGTAGCTTTTAGTCGTTCTGGCGAAAACCTCCCAGGAGTTGCCTCTTGATTTTAGTGATATTGATAAGGCTTCGGGTGGGAAAAGAGCTGGCCTGGAACAGAGACCGGCTTCGGCTGCCTCCTACTTCTTCCCCCCTGCCCCTCCTCCCTCCATCCCCCTCTCGCCCTTCGTCGTCGCCCTCCCTTCTCCGCGAGCCTTCGCGCTCCTGAGCCACACAGTGTTCCAGCGTGCACCTGGGGCAACCGCCGTTCTCTCGTAGGGCCGTCCTTCTGGACGTCTGTCGGCGCCTCGCCTCGCGCTGCCCCTATCTCCCCTCCACCCCGGGCCAGGCGTGCCGCTCGCAGCTGCTCGCGGTTGGGCGCGCGGACTGCCCGCGCCGGGAGCTGCCGGAGTGGCCCGAGGTGGGGGCCTCTGGGGCGGCCCTCGAGCGGCCCTCGGGGCCGTGGGCGAAACAGGAATCCATCTCCGCGGCCTCGTGGGCGGGGAACCTGGGCCGCGACCCCCCGGCGGATACGGGACGTTTTGATCGGGGGTGCCCCGTGTGGCACGTATCCGTGCGCTGCTTATGGGCGCGGGATCGCGCCCCGGAATCCAGACCGCGAGTGCGCGGACACGGGTATGTTCGCCGCTCGCGATCGTCGCCGGATCGAGGAGCAGCCTGCACGGCACGCGCACGCGCGCGGACTCGTTGGGTCCAGCGCGGGTCCGAGAAGTCCGCGCAGACATCCCCGAAGCTCTGGGCGCGTGCAGTTGCTTTTCTTTCCAGGCGGGGAGATCAGGGTGGGGGGCCGGCCCATTCGTGGGCGAAAAAGCAATCCGTATCCACGGCCTCGCGGGCCAGGCCTCTGGGCCAGACCCCTTCGATACGGTTGTTTTCTTCGCGGGTGCCCCGTGCGGCACGTATCCGTGCTACCGTGTATCCGCGGGATCGCGCCACGGAATTCAGACCGCGAGGGCGTGGATATAGATACGTCCTCCACTCGTAAGGGGGTCAGGCCCAGACATCCGACGCAAAGGTTTTTCGTCGTTTTCGACCTCCAGGGGCCCTCGCTGGGCCCGTGGACCTTCAAAATACGACTCAGGACGAAGAGCTGGCCTTTGGCAGAAGGCCTGTACTTCTCGGGACCCCGTGAGGAAAAGTTGGATATATATATATATATATATATATATATATATATGTGTGTATACACATATATATATATATATATATATAATATATTATATATATATATCCCGGGGGAGCAGGCCCGGGGCCCGAAAACAGCTGCCGCGACCCTCCATGGGAGGACCGGGGTTCATTTGTTTTTACAGGGTTTCCGCGTCCTGGGCCTCGGAGGCCGCCGTCTCCAACCCCCCATGGGAGGACGGGGCGGCCGGGGACCCCCAAGGTAGGAGGAGGAGGAGGGACAAGTAAGAAGGAGGAGAAGGAGGAGGAGGGGGAAGAAGAGAGTAGGAGGAGGAGGAGGGGGAAGAAGAGGAGGTGGGGGATGACAAGGAGGAGGAATGCAGCGCGAGGGAGAAGAGGAGGAAGATGAGGAGGAGGAGGAGGAGGAGGAGGAGGAGGAGGAGGAAGGAGGCATGAAAGGAGGAGGGAAGGAACGGACGATCACAAGGAGGATGAGCAGTCGGGTTTGGGAGATATGTTTTTGTGACAGGTTCTCGAAGGACGATTAAGGCCATCTTAGGGGGGGTGGCTCTCTTGGGGTCCCCGTGGGGCCTCTTGGGGCTCTTCTTGGGGGTCGTGGGGCCATCTTGGGGTTCCTTGGAGGCCCATGGCTCAAAAAGAGAGGGGGTAACACAATTCAAGCGTCTCTCTCGGAGACAGCAATTGCATTTTCGGGCCCTCCTGGGCCGCTCTTGGAGCGCTCTTGGGGCCCTCTTGGGCCCCTCCTGGGGCTCGCTTGGGCCGTCTTGGGCCCATAGTGAGGCCTCAACCGCCAATCGGAAGCAAAACAGCGAGAAGGCAACACACACATTAAACGGATGTTGGCCTCTTGGAGGGTTCCTGGGAAGTTGGGGCTGTTCTGGGGCCTCTCGGAGGCATGTATGAGGCTAGGTTAAACCATCTTCGGCTATCTTGAGCCATCTTGGAGGCCGCCTTGGGCTGCCGAGGGCCCTCTTGGAACAATGTTAGGCCCATATTGAAACTCTAACTAGCCGCCCCCCCCTCCAAGACCCAGGGGAGGGGGTAGGGGGAGGGGTCAAGACACCCCCTAGATAGTAAGCCGTCTAATTAGCTCACTCCCACCCGCCCTCCTAACACATTAGTAACACCTGAGCCTGAGCACGGTCAGCCGTCGATTTTGGATGGCCAGCTACTGGGAACCACAGCCGACCCCCAGGTGCACGACGCTTGGGCGAGGTGCGTCACGCGTGCCAGGCGCGCCACGCGCGTTAGGCATCCTTGGGGCCCGAGCGTGCCAGGCACGCCTGGTGCGCCAGATGCGCCACGTGCCTTCCGCGTTCGCCAAGTGTGCCGCACACTGCACCATGTTCGGAGCACGTGCAGAGTGCGTCAGGTGCGCCTGCGCACGTGACAGCACACATCGGGGAACATGTCGGCCCCCGCCATCCTTGTCGAACACCAATGCCCATCATTGTGTCTGGTGGGCCTGCGCACAGCAGGCCACGCGCCACCACCCCCGCCGTCCCTGTCAAAAACCACTTGACAGTGATCGCGGGACGGCCGCCCATGATCCAGATTTAGCCGCGAGGTGCATGTTTCATTGTTTTTGTCAGGGATGGTAGCCCTGCCCCGTCGCCCCTGTCAAAAACAACACAAAGTGGTCGCGGGCCTCACGAACATGACTCAAGACTTTGCCCCAAAGTGTATTTTGCATTGTTTTTTGACAGGGGGGGTGGGGGGGTCGGCGCATCGGTTTGGCCGCGCATGCTCCAAATGTGGAGGCAGAGTGCGGCTGGAATCGTTTTTTGACAGGGATGGTGGGGCGCGGGCCTGCATGGAGTCGGCATGGTTCCGGGTTGGCCGCCGGCCGGGTGGGGGTGTATATGAATCAGGAACAGTTATCAAGCTACCCACACGCCCCCCAGCCATCTAGCTCACTCCCACCCGCCCTCCCAACACATAAGTGACACCCGAGCCTGAGCATGTTCAGCGGTCGTCTTTGGATGGGCAGTTACTGGGGACCACAGCCGACCCCAGGTGCACAAAGCTTGGGCGAGGTGCGTCACGCGTGCCAGGCGCGCCACGCGCGCCAGGCACCCCTGGGGCCCAGGCACGCCTGGTGCGCCAGATGCGCCACGTGCCTTCCGCGTTAGCCAGGTGTGCCGCACACTTCAGCCGCGCCAGGTGCGCCACGTTCAGGGCACGTGCAGAGTGTGTCAGGTGCGCCTGCGCACGTGACAGCACACATCGGGGAACATGTCGGCCCCCGCCATCCCTGTCGAAAACCAATGCCCATTATATCTGGTGTGCCTGCGCACAGCAGGCCACTCGCCACCACCCCCGCCGTCCCTGTCAAAAACCACTTGACAAAGATCGCGGGACGGCCGCGCATGATCCAAATTTAGCCGCGAGGTGCATGTTTGATTGTTTTTGTCAGGGATGGTAGCCCTGCGCACGGCAGGGAATCTGCTGGCCCCCCCGCAGTCCCTGTCAACAACAATACAAAGTGGTCGCGGGCCTCACGAACATGACTCAAGATTCAAGACTTTGCCCCAAAGTGTACTTTGCATTGTTTTTTGACGGGGGTGGTGGGGGGTGGCCGCATCGGTTTGGCCGCGCATGTTCCAAATGTGGAGGCAAGGTGCGGTTTTGTACCGTTAGTTGACAGGTATAGTTGGGCGCGGGCCTGCATGGGGTCGGCATGGTTCCGGGTTGGCCGCCGGCCAGGTGGGGGAGGGGGTGTATATTAATAAGGAACAGTGATCAATACACCCTCCGAGATAGCAAGTCGTCTTGCTCACTCCCACCCGCCCTCCCAACACATAAGTGACACCCGAGCCTGAGCATGTTCAGCGGTCGTCTTTGGATGGGCAGCTACTGGGCATCAAAACCGAGCCCATGTGCGCGACGCTGGGGCGAGGAGCGCCACGCGGCCACGCGTGCCAGGCGCGCCATGCGCGCCAGGCACCCCTGGGGCCCGAGCGTGCCAGGCACGCCTGGTGCGCCAGATGCGCCACGTGCCTTCCGCGTTAGCCAGGTGTGCCGCACACTCCAGCCGCGCCAGGTGCGCCACGTTCGGGGCACGTGCAGAGTGTGTCAGGTTCGCCCGCGCACGTGACAGCACACATCGGGAAACATGCCGGCCCCCACCATCCATGTGGAAAACTAGTGCCCGTCGTTGTGTCTGGTGGGCCTGCGCACGGCAGGCCATACGCCACTACTTGACAGTGATCGCGCGGTGGCAGCGCATGATCCAGATTTAGCCGCGAGGTGCATTTTGTATTGTTTTTTTGTGTCAGGGATGGTAGCCCTGCGTGCAGCAGGCAATATGCTGCCCCCCCCCCCCCCCCCCGCCGTCCCTGCCAAACAACAATACAACGTGCTCGCGGACCTCACGGCCGTGACTCCAGACTTTGCCCCAATGGAGGCAGAGTGCAGTTTGCATTGTTGTTTGAAATGGATGGTAGCCCTGCGCGCAGCAGGCAACATGCTGACCCCCCGCCGCCCCTGCCAAGAAACAATACAAAGTGCTCGTGGGCCTCACGAACATGGCTCCAGACTTTGCCCCAGAGTGCACTTTGCATTGTATTTTGATAGGGATGGTGGGCGGGCCCTCATGAGGTCCTCATTGTTCCTGGTCGGCTGCTGGTCGCCTGGCGGAGGGGGTGTATATTCATAGGGAACAGTGATCAACCCTTCCCCCGGAGCAGGGAAGGAGGGGGGGGAGAAGACAAAACGGGTTAAACCACTTACACCCAGAGGGCTGATGAGACTTGCAGTGGGGAGGTAATAATCGAGTCGGCGCCTTGATGATGGAGGTCGCCTCGCGAGGGCGCGAAGATGACTGCGCGCCGCGCATTGTGGGGCGCGATGCGCGAAGTTAGGTGATCCAGGAGGCGGTCTCCCACACGGTGAATGCGGAGTCGGCATCGATCCTTGCCGCCACCACGCTGTCCCATCCCGAGCGGGGGGAGGCATGGATAGTGTTGATGTAGTCCCCCCCAGACCCCGGACACAAAGACTGGTAATCCCACGAAGGTGCGGGAGGGCGTGACGGAGGGAGATCCAAATGCTCCAGACTGCCAGGGAGCCAGCTTCTGAGTCTTGTTAATATGGCACCCTGGCGGAGGGCTACGGCAAGCTGCTCCGATTCCCGTTTGGCATCTCCGACATGAAGGCCCTCAAGCAGTTTGCGCGCGCCTTGTGGTGGCCAGGGTTCGGAAAATTATGGTTGGCGGCAGCAGAATGGTCGCAGACGTTTGTGGATGGCCTGGGTTGGTTAATCAGCGGGACGAACATGGCAATATATCATCACATGGAAAATACAGATGCCAGCGAGGAACATGGAGAACGACTAGCTCGCAGGAGGCATGCATCAGAGGCTCCCCAAGTGTGTTTTCGCTGTGTTCTCTCTGGCTTCGCGGAAAGTACCAAGGTGGCCTGATCGAAGGGTTCGGGGGCACGGGGGGGCCAGGCAATGTGCGTCATTTGCTTCTCCGAACGCATTATTGTATGAATAATTTATTGTTGGATGAGTTTGGCGGGCACGGATGTCCAGACTGCCACGAGTTTTGGCCTCGTGCGCATCATCACCCCGACACTCGTAGGTCCCGGGTCGGCTAAGTAGTTTCATGTACAATCGTCATCATAATTTCTTGCACCCTGGTCACTGAGCTCGTTTGCCCGTTCCCGCGTTCGACAGTCTGATCGAACCGCTCTAGTATCTAGTCTCCTGACCTGGTGGAAGTCCAAGAATTACCCATCGATTGTTGAAAGTATGTTTCATCTGGATTCCCAGATCCCAATCTACCTTTGGCGCCAACCTGTTTCAAGATGCAAGCGGCTTCCACTCTTACCTCCTATCCGTGGGGCGGGCGGAAGCCAAATCCACGTTCAACGCCTTCCGACTTTCTGTGTCAACCCACTTCTTCCGACCGATGGGTATCCGAGAGGTGTCGCAGGGCCAGGGGGAAACTGCAAGGAATTGTTATCACCATGGGCAGCTACGTTCTGCCGCTGGCGTCCTATGTCTTGTGGGGCTGGAGGTGCTGGCGCATGGCCGGTTGGCCCCTGCCAGCATCAGGACCGCGAGTCGATAGCCAGACATCAGGCCACCAGGGGGGGGCGCGAAGATAGCCGCGCTCTGCACACCGCGGCCTGGCCCGCAGGGTTGTACAGCTGGCACGAGGGCCGAGAGGAGCCCAAGCTTCGGAGGGGTGCCCCGGTGCTATTCGTGCTCGGGCTCTGCACCGTGGGCGTTATCCGTTTGGGGCATCTCCTGGGGGCTTTGGGCACTCGGCGACGGGGCTCGCGTCCTTACCTCGCGCTGCTGTGGCCACGTCTCGGCTAGACTTCTCCAGGGGAGAGTGCGGAGATCATCTCGCCCAGCGCTGCGTGGGGCGCGAGGACAGGTGAGCGACGCAAAAACATTGGTTCGACTGCGCGGACATTTGCGCGTAAATTCCTCGCGTAAGGTTGCGCGCAAGCGGCCTCGTATCCAATGTAGCGTGCCGTGTCAGGGGCTCGCTTAAGCCACCGCGTAAGGTCTCTACGTCATCTCGCGTAAGACCCGTTTTTTTATCGTCGCCCAGCTGGTGCGAGGTCAGGCGAGTAGAGAAGCGGACATGCCACGATTCCGCGGCTGCGATTCACCCACATCCGCTGCCTGGGACATCGATCTTCCTGGACCCTGGGAGGCGGTGGATCTGGATACTTTCGGGCCCCCTGGTCCCAGGACGTCGGTTCCCCGGGCGGTGGATACGGACTATTCCCGCCTCGCACCCTGGGGCAACCCGATCCAGCCCCATTTGCCAGGGTGGTTTTCTCATCCTTGGGCAGTCTGCTGATGGTCCCAATAGGACTCGAGTTGGGTCCCCAGAGGCCCAAAACGGTGGAAGAATGGACGTCTCGTCATTTGGTTCGTGACGCCGGATGTCTGGCGCCCTCTCGCAAGAGCCGTCAGCTGGGACCTCCTGAGGGGTGCGTTCTGGCCAGAATTTCGAGAGGCATCCGATCGTGACCATGAGGGCGCCCCATATCCCTCCTCAAAATCTAGCGCAAGTTTCTCTCGCGACGTGGCGGCGTCCCAGGACCCCCAATTCAAATGTTCGCGTCGAGACTGACGACTGCTGACAAAAAAACAAATCCCGCGGGCCGCGTTGCGAGCGTCGTCGATCAACATTCAAAACTTGCGCTTGATCTCGATGAGGGTTGCAGGACGCCCCGCACTACTGAAATTGGGCCTCCCTGGCCGAGCCAGGTTGGCGGACACACCGCTCCTGGGCCCAGGATGGGCCTGGCCAGGAGAGGTGGACCTGCATAGATCTCGTCGCCCTAGTTCTGGCAAGAATCTCGAGGGGAATCCAGTCGTGGCCACGAGGGCGCCCCAGGACGCCCCCCGCAAAGCAGAAGTTGCCAAGGCGCCTCGAGTCTCGGGGGGGGGGTCGCGGGGGGAGCGGCCTCCCACAGAGGCGGGGGGGGGACCGAGAAGGCGGGGGCCTCAGAAGGGCCACAGGGAACTTCTGGAGAACCGGCCACTCGCAGAGGGGGGCAGGGGGAGGGGGGATGACGATGACGATGGCGATGCCGTCATAGCCATCGTCATCATCATCATCATCATCATCATCATCATCATCATCATCATCATCATCATCGTCATCGTCATCGTCATCGTCATCGTCATCGTCATCGTCATCGTCATCGTCATCACATCAACATTATCGTCATCGTCATCGTCATCACATCAACATTATCGTCATCGTCATCGTCATCATCATCATCGTCATCATCGTCATCGTCGTCGTCATTGTCGTCATCGCCTTCGTCTCGTCGTCGTCGTCATCGTCATCGTGGCCTTGTCTGAAGATGTAAGGCCGGCGCCTTCTAAGAAGCAGCCTCCTGCTAAGAAGCCTTCCCCCCTCCCCCTACCCTCTTGTGCGCGCCGCCAGGAGAAGGCCTCCCAGCAGCCGCCACGTCTTCTCGAAAGTCAGCACGCTGCTGTTTGAGTGAGAGCCCGAAGCAAGGACTCCCTCGAGGGCGCGAGTTCAGCGCTTCGCGCTTCGGCATACCTCATCCTCCTCTTTTCTCCCCTGGGGGGTGGCGCAAGAGCGCGAAGTTATTCGCGCTTCGCGATTCGCGCAGCACGAAGCGCAAAGTTATGAGCCTCTGCAAAGCATGAGCAGTCGAAACGGACCCCGCGAGCTGAGAGGTCGGAAACTTACCGAGAGGCCGCACGCGAGGCCCCACTCTTCACGAAGACAGGCCCAAGCGACAGCAAGCAGTGACTCTCAGCAGCAAGCGGCAGCACGCAGCAACAAGCAGCACACGCAGCAGGCAGCAGCACACACGCAGCAGTGCGCAGTGCGCGAAGTTAGGTTCGGAGGCATGCCGGAGGACGGAACGAGAGGGGACCCGGCTTCTCAGAAGACCGCGGGGCTTCGGAGAAGGCTCAGGAAGTCCTCAGAGGGCCGGAGGCTTCCTGAGCCTTCTGAGAAGGTCCGCCCCCTCTGCCTTCCCCTCTGGGGACATCCAGCCCTCGGTCGCTGGGCCGGACGACTGGGCGAGGGGGGTCAAGGCAAACAGGGTTTTGCAACTGCTCTCAGAGGTGATCCGCCGTCGCGGGCGGAAAGCGTGAGTTGAAATTCGCTCCTCTAAACCTCCTGGAGCCTGAGAGCCGCGGCACGATAATGAGAAATCCGCCACCGCGCCCATCCAACCATCCAAAAAGCACCGATCAATGTAGCCTGGGTCAGAGCGGCTTCCCCTCGCCAGGGGGGGCGGCGCGAGGGCGCGAAAAATATCGCGAATCGTGGGTAGCGATGCGCGAAGTTAGGCGATCCAGGCGACCAAGACATCCAGACCTCGGTCGCACGGCCAGGTCTTGGCGCGATGCGTCCTGATCAGCCCCTGCCCTTGGCATCGCTCGGACGTGTGAGTTGTTTCTCGGCAGGGACCATCAAGTACCATTCTGGGTCATCCTGGGGAAAACATGCGCACAGAAACCGAAAAGTGCACGGGGAGTGGACATCCGAGCGATGGCGGGTGCCCCCCCCAGGCAGCCGGACGGCACGGCGGCCTCGCTTCCGGACGGCTGCACCGACCGGGGCTTCCACCACCGCAGGGGCACCAGGTGCGTCTCGGAGATGGTGGCCAGGGGCCTCCTTCCTTCGGGGGGCCGCCAGGAGGGGGAGTGATGACTAGTGATTATCGGGCGGGGCTAGGACGAGGATAATCCGTTCCAAAGCGTTCTGGAACGCTCTCACAGAGAGGTCTGAGAAGGTCGCGGCGCCCGAGCCTTCCTCCACAGCTGCTGGATCTCAGATATTATCTTGTTATGCTCACCCGGATCTATCTCATCATAATTATATAGCTTGTACGGCATTCAGATTTAGATTCGACCACGACGCTTCTCAGAAACTCCACAGGCAAGCTGTCGTACCCGGGTCGGCGGAAGCCTCTGGGTTGGTTGGAGCCACGTGGCCAGCAGCAGTAGCGGCAGTAGGAGGCGCCACAGGCTGCGTGGCGCCGCCGCTGGACGAGCTGCCTCCCCCCTGGCCTCCACCTGCCACCGCTGGGTCGGCTGCGACACGTTCAGCTTCGTCTCGACGAGCCCGCTTCGCCGATAAGCGATAGGCGCCGGCGCATCTCGCGAGCTTCCTGCCGCAGGGGCCGGATGCTGCCCACGGTCGGTCCAATTGTTGAGAGGATGGCCGCTTGTAGCTCCTTGCCAATGTTGACCTTTTGCTGCGTGTCCTTCTCCTCCACTTCAAGGTCGGTGAAGTCCAAGGGATCGCCATCCACGATCTCGACCGTGTCGACAGACTCGTCGCTGAGTATCTGGGAGAGGTTGATGTGCGAGGAGCCAGCGCCGACTCCGCTCGATGCATCACTGCGGCCATTCCTGCTGGGAGTCCGTTCTCCCGCGTTGGCGAGCTCCATCGCGAGCTCATCCTTTTACGCCTTGGACGCCTCTGCTGCTGCAACAGCCGCCGCAGCTGTCGCTTCCTTGCACTCTTCGAACCAGCGCTGCGCCTCGCCCTCCGTATCCACGCAGCTCTGGAGCCACGCCTGCGCCTTGCGGCATTCCAACCCCCCTGACCGAGATGGAAGCCTCGAGCAGCTGACGCTGCGGCTTGCTGCGGCCCCAAGGCCCCCCTCCTGCACCTGGAGCTCCGCCTGGCCAGTGCCGCTGGACCCGACACGAGTCCCGAGCTGGGTCGGGAGGTCGGAGGCGGCGAGCCCTCCATCGCGGGCCCGCGAGCCCTGCTGAGGCGGCGTGGAGGGCCTCGGCAGCCCGACGCTTGGCGGCGGAGTCCCCCGCAGCCACGCGCCTGGTGGAGCGGGAGGCGCCGCCGAGCCCCCGGCCGCACGTGGCCAAGGCACGTGGACGAGTCGGCGACCACACTCCCGGACCCTCGCGCCGAGGGACCTCCTGCGGGATGAGCGTGGCCCCGCACTGGAAGCAGAAGGCCCTGGACTTCCACGTCCACCGGTTCCGACACGCCGAGCACGGGATGTAGTTCTTGGCATCCTTTTTGCCCATGGGCTCCGCTAAGGGCCAGCGAGGGAAACAAGAGCAGACAGTTTCCCTAAGAGGATGACGCTCCTGGCAGGAGCTCGCAATGTGTAACGGCCTCAACTTGTCGTCCAGGGATCGCCGGTGGGGCCCCCCCTCGCCACTTCTCAGATCTCTGAGCCTCCTTGCTTTGGCCACGGAGGGGGGAGGGAGGAGGACGGAGGAGGGAGGAGGACGGAGGAGGGAGGAGGAGCACTAGGAGGGAGTTGGAGGAGGGAGTTGGAGGAGCAGGGAGGAGGAGGAAGGAGGGGGGGACGAGGAGGGGGAGGAGAGCGGGTCAGCAGGTGGGCGTGCACCCGGTCGGCGGCGAAGGGCACCGTTGGTCCGCCCAGCTGTGGGCGGACGCGCAGGACGTGGCCGCTCTCGCCTGGCGGCTTTCGGTGGCATTCCCCGCCTGGGGCCTTCGCTCCACTGCAGCCCGCCCTCCGGGGTCGCCTACGACCCGATTCGATGCGGTTCGATTCGGGACGGTTCGCTGGCGATCCGACCCGGCCCGATCTCGCGATTCGGTCGAGCTCCGGCCCACCCTCTGGGAGGGGATCCGGGTGGCGAACAAGCACATCCTCCCCGCAGTTGCGAATGAGAGTGAGGTTCGAGATTTGAAGGGCTCCGAGTCTTGAGGGCTTCAAGGTTTTCGGACGCATTCGTTGGTTCAGAGGTGTTCCAGCCTCTGGATGCCTTCAGCGGCGTTCCAAGGGTGCCCGGATCGTCCCGCATGGCCGCTGGAGAGCCAGGTTATGACCCGAAAACCAGGTTGCAACGTTTTTTGCGGGTAGGCTCTAGGGCTCTAGGGGGGGCGCATCGACCCCCAATCGCCCATTCATCGCCGACAGGGCACCCCTCCCAGCAGCGTGCGGATTCGCTATCGGGGGCATATCGCCGATCTATCGGTGACGTGTCGCCGACTCCAGCCCGTTGCTCCCCACCCTGAGTCGGTTCCCCATAACATCCCCCCTTCATGAAAAGGGGACGAGGCTCGAAAACAAATCTGAAGAAGCCCGCCGATTGGGGGGGTCGCGGGCTGGTCGCGGGGTTCGCCCCAGGATATGTGTTTGTGGTGGTTCTTGAATGTTTTCTCGCCCAGGGATGCGTTCCAGTAGGGTCCTGAGGCTTTTCGCCGTTTCCGGCTTCTCTCGCGGATCCATTCCGTGCTTGGGCTGCATCTTGCTCGAGGCGATGGGAAACCCATCAGTTCCCCCAAGTTCTCTTTCTCCACATAAAGAGTTTCCCTGAATCTTGGTGCAAAAAGGGAACGACAAAACCACAGGGATGCTTCCTTCCCTCGTTGTCGCCTTTCTGGGGCTCTCGGGGGGGCCTCGCTTTCACGGCTGAATTCGCATCGGAATCTTAGTCAGAGCGCGTCCAGGATAGGTCCAGGGAGCATTGGTAGCGCTAGATTGTTTGTTCTCACTATACCCTGAGATCCAAGCGGCGCATTGTTTCCGCAGCGAATGTTTGCCTGTTTTCAGGCCGCCTTCTGGCTTTCACAGAGCAGTCGGGCTCGAGAAACGCCGCAGCAATATGGGGTCCCCCCCATCCCCCGTCAGGGAGGAGAAAAGGGGAGGGAATCGACTTAACTACGACGTTTCTTTTCTTTGGTGCTCAAATTCCTTGGGACTGGCGACGACGACGAAGACGACGACGAGGGCAAAGCCTCTCGCACACGCCGAGCGGATTCTTGACGATGCTGTGATTTGTTCACGGCGTTGGATCTCAGGGTATTTGGTGCGCCCCCAAACAGCCAGGACGAACGGTCTACGCATTCGTGAAAATTTTCTGGCCCCTTCTGGGTGCATTTTGGCGGCCGGACTTCGCCGAGACGTCCTTGCAATGGCGCGAGGATCGTCCCGAGATCTCTTCTCGTGCCCGGCTTGGGGCCAAAGAGCCTCGGGTCTTCGTGGCCCCGAGCAGAATCAGTATTCGGTGCGGCAGGCTCGCGCCGCGCAGACGCGGCGGCGGCCCCAGCGCGGGCGTTCCAGGTTGGACGCTGCCGGTTTGCGCTACTTGCCCGAGTGCCGCGACCGTTCTAGGGCAGGTGGTCTTCGCGGCTGCCACGCGGTGTCAGAAACCGAGCCCAGCGTCGTCACGACGTGAATGTGCCACACTAAACGTTCTTGGATATCTGAGGTGTTTGGATATTGTTCTCCTTCCTGGACGTTTTCCGACGCCGAGGTGATCGTCTTGCAATTGTGCCCAATTATTGAAGAGCTCCCCGCAGCTGTTAGGAATCGCCCCAAGCGGCCGCCTGAGGTCCAGCTGGTTTCGGCCCCAAAGCTGGGCGCACGTGCGTGAGGCGATTCGCCAGCCCCCGCTTTGCTACCCCCTCTTCTGTCCGACCCGATTTGAGCATAGGATTGGTGCCTTGCGCACGATAACTGCACGGGCATAATGCTCTACGTGGGCGCCCACGCGATGAACTGCCACTACTGGTGCGGACGGCCGCAGTTCTGCGACGGCCCAATAGGCGCGCCTGGGCCGGAACATTCTCTTCCTCTCCAGACGCCCAGAATCGCCCCAGAGGGCTCGGGGCGGCCACCCTCAATGAGTTCGGACACATTACAAGGGTCCTAAACGAGGCCTGCAGGGCTCCAAGCTGGCCCCATCACGCCCATCGTCGCTCCGATGCGGGCTCAGGGAGCCACTGAACAACGCGGTGCTTCCAGCTTCTCCAGTTTTTCCAGTTTTCCCAGAGACTACCCCAGTGAAAAAAAGCTGAAGTTTCCAGCTGTTCCAGTTTCCCAAAGACTACCCCAGTGAAAAACGCTATGCTTTCTAGCTTTTCCAGCTGTTCTCCCAGTGAAAAGCGTTCCGTTTTCCAGCTTTCCCAGTTTTTCCAAAATATGACCCCATTTACAAACAATGTGGTTTCCAGCTTTTCCAGCGTTTCCCATCGACTACGCGGCAGGGTGGTCCAGGGTGGTCCAGGGTAGTCTCTGGGAAAAGCTGGAGGAGCTGGAAAACACATCGCTCTTCATTGGGATGGTCTTTGGGAAAAGGTGGAACACACAGCGTTTATCATTGGGGTAGTCTTTGAGAGAAGCTGGAAAAACTGGAAAACACAGCGTGTTGCACTGTGGCAGTCTCTGGGAAAACTTAACAAACCAGAAAAGCTCGAGAACACATGGTTTTCAGTGGGATAGTCTCTGGGATAAGCTGGAAGAGCTTGGAATCATAGCGTTTTTCGTTGGTGTAGTCTTTGGGAAAAGCTGGGACAGCCGGGGAAGGTGGAAACACACAGCGTTTCGTTCTGACAGAGGCAAAGACAGATAGAGAGAAACACAAAGTGAGAGGGACGGATAGAGAGAGCGAGAGAGAGAGAGAGGGAGAGAGAGAGAGAGAGAGAGAAAAAGAGAGAGAGAGAGAGAAAGAGAGAGAGAGGAAAACAAACAAATGGGAGACGAAGACGAATCAGACCAGGATAAGAAGGAGTATGTGTGGTCTTTGATGGGGGGACATCTACATAGATGTGTGTGTGTTGGGACATACGTATGTATGTATGTATGTATATATATATATATATATATATATATATGAGGCCTTTTGGGAACTTCTTGAAGGCATTTCGGGGGGAGCCTGTCGAGGGCTTGCTGGGGACTTTTTGCGGGCCTCTTGGGGCCTGGCTTGGGCCTCTTGGATTCTCGGGGGCCTCTTGCGGCTTCTGGGGGCCCTCTTTGGGGACTGCTGGCGGTCTCGGGGGTCATCTTAGGGCGGAAGGCTCGAAATATCGGATCGCGTTCCCCCTCTGGTCCTCCCCCTCCTCGTCCGTCCCCATCCTCCTTTTCGTCCGTCCCCATCCTCCTCGTCCTCCTCCCCTCTTCTTTCTCCGCGCCTCACCCGCCCCCCTCCGCCGCCCCCCCTTCCCCCCCCAGTTGGCGACGAGGGCACGGAGTCGAGCGGAGAGTGGAACCTCTTCGCGAGGGGCGGACCCGATGGCGCATGCGGCGAGGACCCGGCCCGTCGTCGTCGTTGACCTCCTCCTCTCCCTCCTCCTCCTGTATCGTGCTGTTTTCCTCCTGAGCTTCAGATGTTGATAAGGCAAAGACTTCTCAAACAGGCGATTGATATTGAGAAGTTGCTCCAGCTCACGTCCACTGCTCCAGCGGCATGGTGTGGCATTGCTGCCAAGACGTGGCTGGGCGCGTGGATTACCAAACAGCGGGAAGCTGGGTGTATTTACGGATGCCCAGACGTTCGTGACCATGTTCAACACTACGTTTGTTCTTGTGCGAGACTGCACCACTTCATTGCCAACGCATTACGGATGGATCTTCTGCGTCCGTGGCAGGGCGTTTGGGTTCACTGGATCATTGTTATTCGTGGTGGCCATGAATCATTATTTACGAGCTTAGCGGCCATGAATCATTATTTACGAGCGTAGCCCGTAATTGATTTTCAGGAAGTAGACTCAGTGACCGACTGGCAGAACTCAACATTGAGTCACCCAAGCCGTCAGAAAGCAGCTTTGTGTCCGGGGATGAGGATGTTTCGCTGGTCGTTCTGAGTCAGGGAGTTGAGGATATTCCGCTGGCAGTTTTAGGCCAGATTGGTGAGGACATTTCGCTGGCAGCTTTAATTCAGGGCGGTGAGGATATGTCGCAGGCAGTTTTAAGCGAGGGCGGTCAGGATCTTTCGCTGGCAGTGTTAAGCGAGGGGTGCTAGGGCATTGCGCTGGCAGTTTTACACGAGGGCTGTGAGAATATTTCGATGGCAGTTTTAGGCCAGGGGCGTGGTAATATTTTGCTGGCAGTTTTAAGCGAGGGCCGTGAGGATACTTCACTGGCAGATTTCAGTCAGGGGGTGAGGATATTCCGCTGGCAGTTTTAGGCCAGGGGCGTGAGGATATTTCGCGGACGTTTTTTAACAAGCGGTGTTGGGATATTTCGCTAGCAGTTTTATGTCAGGGCGTTGAGGATATTTCGCAGGCAGTTTTAAGCCAGGACGGTGAGGATCTGAGGCTGGCAATTTTCAGCGAGAGGTGTGATGATATCTGCCTGGCAGTCTGAAGCGAGGGCGGTGAGGATATTTTATTAGCTTTCACTGGCAGGTTTAAGTCAGGGGGGTGAGGATACTCCGCTGCCAGTTTTAGAGTAGGAGCGTGAGGACATTTCGCTGGCAGTTTTAAGCGAGGGGCGTGGGGATACTTCACTGGCCGTTTTGAGCGAGGGATATTTCGCTGCAGTTTTTGGCGAGGTGTGTGAGGATATTGCGCCGGCAGTTTGAGTCTGAGTGCCGAGGAGACTTCGTTGGTAGTTTTAAGCGACGTGTGTGAGGATATTGTGCGATATTGCGCGAACAGTTGTAAGTCAGGGCGGTAAGGATATGTTGTTTGCAGTTTTAAGCCAGGGGGTGATGATATCACTGGCAGTTTTAAGTAAGAGGTTTGATGATATTTCGCTGGCAGTTTTGAGCGAGGGCTGTGGGAATATCTCGCTGACACTTTCAAGCCAGGGGCGTGGGGATATTTCGCTGGCAGTTTTAAGCTAGGGCGGTGAGGATTCTTCGCTGGCAGTTTTAAGCCAGGGGTTGAGGATATGTCACTGGCAGTTTTAAGCGAGGAGTGTGAGGATATTGCGCTGGCAGTTTTAAGTCAGGCCGGTGAGGATATTTCGCTGGCCGTTTTCAGCAGGGCCCTGCCTTGCCCAGCCGAAGGCTGCGCATCAAGCGCGGTGCTGCGTCCGTATATATGCTCGCCCCTTGGCGTGGAGCTGAAGGGGGGCCAAGGGGCGAGCTGTCCGTTGTTTACCTTCTTGTTTCGCATGCGTACTCCGAGCCGCCCTCATACCCGCAGGCGGCATCATCATCATCATCGTCGTCGTTGTCGTCGTCATCATCATCATCATCATCATCATCATCATCATCATCATCATCATAAGCATAAGCATAAGCATAAGCATAAGCATAAGCATAAGCATCATCATCATCACCCTCATCATCATCAGCATCATCATGATTATCATCATCATAATCAGCATCAGCATCAGCATCAGCATAGCATCATCAGCAGCATCATCAGCATCACCATCATCATCACCATCACCATCACCATCATCATCATCATCATCATCATCATCATCATCATCATCATCATCATCATCATCATCATCATTAACAACAGCATCATCATCATCATCATTATCATCCGCATCGTCATCAGCATCGTCATCGTCATCGTTATCCTCAATCATCACCTTCATAATCATCGAGATTCGATGCCGGCTTCGCGATTCGATGCCGGATGCTCCCTGCCTCCCAGGACGGGGCCAGCGAGGGCGCGTCAGACGTTGGCCGCCTGCCCGAGGCCGCGGGCGAGCAGTGAGCCGCCCCTCCCGCGCGGCGCGCGTGCCGTACCTCTGCGTGGAGGTTGGCTGCGTGGCGGTTCGAAGGTAGGAATTCGAGGCGAGGATTTATACAGAACCACCGCCTGGAGGATCGATGTTCGGAGATTTCGACAGGCGGTGCACATAGACATACTCGGGCCCCCTGGGGCCCAAGTATATCCACATCCACTGCCCGCTGGGGTCCCAGGGCGTCGGTTCCAGAGGCGGTGGGTCTGGACATATCTCCACCTCGCAAGCAAGTCGGTACGATGGAAATGGATAGTGGAAGGGTGGGTACGAAGGCCGGCAGCAGCCACTGTCCATTTGAGCAGGGTTAGCTGTCGGAGTTGCCGTGGACGTCGTCTTTTCGAAGCAGGAGGCCGCTTGTCCAACAGCGGCCGCTGGTGGTTTGGGACAACATTTGTTGTTGGGCATCGTTTCCATTTTTCCCGTAGCCATTTGCGGACAGGGGAGGATATACATCGGGTCCAGGATCGGCGCTCTCAGAGCGTTTCGGAGCGCTCTGGAACCGCCGCGGCGCACTATACAGCCTCCAGCGCCGCCAGGTCTCAGAGATCCTCGAGTTGCTGGTCCGATTCTGTCTCGATTCTAGCTCCGTCTGATGGCCGCACCGGCGCGCAGGGGGGCTGCGGGGCGGGCCCCAGAGGAACCCAGACCTTCAGGGGTGCCACTGCCAAGGCGCTGGAAGAAGGACCACTTTGGGCTCAGGAGGGGCTCTGGCTTTCGGGCTGCTCCTTTTCTGTAGGTCGGGGGACCCCTTCGTGGCCGATGCTCGCTGAGGCTGGAGAAGCCCGTTCGTTCCTCGTGCAGCGTTCCTCATGGTGGCACGATGACTGTAAGCTCGGGGTAGGCGGGACCGCGGGGCGGCCCGAAGGCGGGAAGGTCCCAGACCTTCAGTCGGGGGCGGCCAAGAGAGGGGGGGGATGTCATGGCCAGGGCCAGAGTACCCCCCTGGGTCTCATGACCCATCTTCTTCTTTTCAACACGTCCGCGCACATGCCTCGGGCCATGATTTCTGAACCTCCCTCCCCTTCCCCTCGTGGACGCCCCCAGCTCAGGGGCAACATTAGAGCGGGGATAGGCTCGACAACGTCAGGGGAAGGGGTTCGAGGTTTGCCGGGGTTGGGGCGAAGTCGTTTTCGTCGGGATGCCTTCCAGCGGCTGAGCCTCGCCGAGAGGGTTCCGGGGGTGCCTGGGTCGTCCCGAACGGCCGCCAGTGGCCAGAGAATCGAGTGCAGATCTCAAAGCCAGATCACGCAGGATTGGGGACAGGTTCAGGGGGGATGCACCGACCCTGGGTCGCCCATTCATCGCCGATTGGGGCCCTATGGCTCGCCCCGCCAGGGAACGTGCAGATTCGCCATCAAGGGCCTATCTCTATGGGGACCGAGTAAACGGGATCGGAGGATCGCTCCGCATCGCCGATACATCGGCGATGTGCCTCCATGTGGAACCAGACTTTCGCCACGCCGACGGCGCCAATACATCGCCGAAGTCTCCGATTCGGCGATGCGGCGCGATCCTTCGACATCGTTTATCCGGATCCCATCTTGGAGGCCTCTACTATCGCGGGTCTTCTGGAGATGCATCGAAGATTCCAGGTCGACGTCCTCACACCCCCGAGCTGGTCTTTCCCTAGCGTTGCCCCTGGCAGGGGACCAGTGTGGCACTGCAGCCGGCCTGAGGGTCCAGAGCATGGTGATGGCGATGGGGATGGTGACGATGATGATGTTGATGATGATAACGATGATGTTGATGACGATGCTGATGCTGAGGATGATGCTGATGCTGCTGTTGATGATGATGCTGTTGATGATGATGATGATGATGTTGATGATGACGATGCTGATTGTGGTGGTGGTGGTGCTGCTGATGATGATGCTGCTGATGCTGCTGATGATGATGCAGATGATGATGCTGACGATGATGATGATGATGATGATGATGATGATGATGATGATGATGATGATGATGATAATGATAATGATAATGATGATGATGATGCTGATGATGATGATGATGTGCATGATGATGATGATGATGATGATGATGATGATGATGATGATGATGAGGATGATGATGATGATGACGAGGACGATGATGATGGTGACGCTAATGGTGATGATGCTGATGATCATGATGATGCTGATGCTGACGATCGTGATGATGATGATGATGATGATGATGATGGTGACGATGATGGTGGTGATTGTGGATGATGTTGGTGGTGATGATGGTGGTGATGATGATGATGACGCTGATGATGGTGATTCTGATGGTGATGATGATGCTGATGCTGATGCTGATGATGATGATGGCGATGATGATGGTGATGCTGATGGTGATGATGATCCTGATGCTGATGCTGCTGATGATGATGATGGCGACGATGATGGTGGTGGTGGTGGATGATGATGTTGGTGGTGATGATGTGTTGATGATGATTATGATGATGATGATGGTGATGGTGATGATGATGATGATGATGATGATGATGATGATGATGATGATGATGATGACGCTGATGCTGACGCTGATGATGCTGATGCTGATGGTGATGATGATGATGATGCTGATGCTGATTCTGATGTTGATGCTGATGCTGATGCTGAGGTCCGGTTCGAGTTAAATGGCCGGTCTGGTTCGGCCGCTCCGGTTCGGCCGTTCGGTTCGGCCGGTTCGGACGGGTGGTTCGGTTCGGCCGAGGGTTTCTGGTTCGGCCGGTTCGGCTCCCAAGCACCTCCAGAACTTTTCCTCTTTTCTGTTCGATTCCGATTCCGATGTACCCCTTAATGTCCCGCTTGGCTTCAACGCTTGTACATATAACCACCTTCCCTTTTAGTACACACACACACACACACGCACACACACACACACGCACACACGCACACACACACACACACGCACACACGCACACACGCACACACGGGGGCTCCGGGCCGCCCAGGCCTTATCGCGACGAGGCTCCCCGGCGGCGGCTGCCGGGGCTCCTCTCGATGCCTTGGGCTCGCTTCCGAGTCGATGGCGGTGGCTTCCCAGACGCGATCGCGTCGTGAGACAATCAGGGCGGGCGGTGTCGCGCCATTTTCGGTACCGGGGGGCCCTGGCCGGGCCCCCGGGGCCGTCAAGGAACGGCTCGGAGCGAAAGGCGGGTCCCATGGGGAAAGGGTCGGGACTTCTGGGGACGCCGTCTTGAACAATTCAGGACGTCGCATGTCTGTGTTCCGACCCCAGCTTCGATTCGACTTCGGATTCCGAATCTGGCTCCGATGTCTCAATAGAGGCCTACTGGCCTGCCGATTTTTCCACCGATGCGACTTTTTTTTTCCGACTCGGCTGCCAATTTCCGCCGATGCGATCCATGTCGATCGCCGATCCGACTCATCGATCCGATTTTGGGCTCTCTTAGGGCCGAGGGTCAGAGAGCGCCTTCCTCTGCAGGCCCGCCACGAAGGGGCGTGAAGGTGATCAAACGCCTCGCCAGTGAAGCCGACGAAGACGTGCAACATCCGACCGATCGCTTCGCAACAGGTCCCAAGTTTTCGCTTGGCGCCAGGTGTGGTGCACCAATGTCAGCTGAACGGCGGATTTCGATGCCGATCCGATCTGGGACGATTCCCTGGCGATTCGATCCGCTCTCGTTAAGTCGGGCACGTCCCTCTACAGGAGGAGTATTCAAGAATACTCAAACATAGTCTGGGGACGATGTTTGTTTCTTGTGCTACTTTTCAATATTTTTTTCGCATCTTTTTCATTTTGCGTCCAAAATCCTACTGTAGGAGGACATGCCCGACCTGACGCTCTCCATCCGATCCGATTTCGCGACCCGGCCCAGCGCAGACCTGCCTGGGGTGCCCACCCCAGGCAGGTCTGGGCAGATCCGCGCCTGCGCAGAGGAGGAGGAGGAGGAGGAGGAGGAGGAGAAGGAGGAGGAGGAGGAGGAGGAGGAGGAGGGAGAATGAGGAGGAGAATGAGGAGGAGGAGGAGGAGGAGGAGGAGGAGGAGGAGGAGGAGGGAGGAGGAGGAGGGAGGGGGAGGAGGAGGAGGCGGAGGGGAGGCCCCCTCTGGCCCCTCCGCCGACGCGCCTGGAGAGGGGCGCTGGAGGTCTGGGCCCCAGCGGCGGAGCGCGGTCGCCCGCCCCCGCGGCCACGGTCGTGGTCGAGGAGAACGGCTCCGTCGTCCTCCACGAGGGCATCGCGGTGGCGCGCGCGGCTCAGGGGCAACGACAGGCCCAGACTTCCTCGCGTGGTGAAACAAAAATCGTGACGGGAGTGGCTTCGCGGCCTCCGGGGGCCCTTCCCGGGCCTCGGGGCCGCCAAAACACGACTCGGGGTGAAAAACGGGTCCCCAGGAAGGGGTCCAGGCTTCTGGGGGTCACGTCATGGAAAAGTCACGACGCCGGGGGTCTGGGGGAGAGGATCGTCGAAGTCGAAAAAAACGGCATAGACATAAACTTTCGGCGCTCCGCGCGGATTTCTTGGATCTGCGCTGGGGCCCCCAGCGGCACCTTTGGCGCCGCCCCTGGCGCGCCGGTCCAGCGCAGATCCAAGAAATTCGCGCGGAGCGCCGAAAGCTTATGTTTCTGCCGTTTCTTTGTTCCTCAAGATAGGCATAGGGGGGATGCATCGACTCCCGATTGTTCATGCATCGACGCGTCGCCGACAGGGGTCTGACAGCCCCACTCCGCCCAGAAACGTGCGGACTCACGATCAGAGGCCTGTCACCGATCTACGTATCGGCGATGTATCGCCGACTCCAGGTCCCAGACTCCCGACGTCGTGATTTTTCCATGACGTGACCCCCAGAAGTCTGGACCCCTTCCCAGGGACCGGTTTTTCACCCTGAGTCATGTTTTGACGGCCCCGAGGCCTGGGAAGGGCCCCCAGAGGCCGAAGATAGTGAAAACCCTCCCGTCGTGATTTCCCACAGCGCGAGGAGGTCTGGGGTCGAGGATCCCCACCCCCCGTGTTAAGTCGGGCATGTCTTTCTGCAGGAGGATTATTCATCAATAGTCAAAAGATATCCAGGGGACGATTTTTTTGGCGTCTACTATTTTTGGTTATTTCTGCATATCATTGACTACTTTTACATTTTCGTCCAACATCGGCCTGTAGGGGGACATGCCCGGCCTAGCCCCTGTGCCAGTCCCCCCCTACCCTTGCCCCTCCGCAGCGGCGGGCGGGGGCGGGCGGGGCGCAGGCGGCGGCCTGCCGGGAGGGCACGCTCCGCCTCGTCGGTTAGGTCGGGCATGTCCTCCTGCAGGCGGATCTTGGAAGAAAAGACACAATCGTCAACAAATGATCACTAGAGCACGAAACATAGCCAAACCATCAGCACAGGTAAGAAAAATAAGCAGTAGTCCCAACATCATCACCCAGTCACAAGACCACGACAAATATCGTCCCCAGACCACTGTCTCGCCAGCCCAGAATCCTCCTCCTGTCGAGGGACATGCCCGACTTCACTCTTCGGGGGCGGCGCGGGCCTCCTCGGGCCCCTCGACGGAAGCGGCCGGCCCCCTCCGCGACGCACCGCTGGCCCCTCGCTGGCCCCTCGGAGTGTCGACCCGCTCGCCCCGACCCACTGTCTCGGTGGCGAATCATGGGAGCCCGGTGGACTTAGGTCGGTCTGTTTCGGGGCATTGTTCGAGTATGTAAGATTGTTCTTCCAAAATCCGCCTGTAGGAGGACATGCCCGACCTAATGGTAGACCCCCGCAATTGCGTCGTTCGCGTCGATCCGCGTCGATTGGCGTCTGGGAGTCGATGGGACAGCGCCGATGTAGCGTCGGTTGGCGTCGATCGGCGTCGAACTCGTGCTGATCAGCGTGGGTTTAGCGTCGATTAGCGTCGATGCAGCGTCGACTCGCGTCGACTCGCAAGTGCCGACAGGATGGTATGGGAGGCTCCCGCGAGCTGCCACCGAGCGCCGTGCGCGCCACCGAAAGTCGAGGTGGTAGAGGCCTGGTGGCGCGCCAGGGACAACGCATCGCGCGCGGCAGAGGCCGACGTCAGGGATCTGGTGCAGCGGCAGTGCAGCAGCGGGAACCCCACCGTGTACGCGACGAGCGAGCTCTTCGGGGACCCCGCGGCGGGGCAGACCAAGGCGCTGGAGATCACGTACAGGAACGCGTCGCGGGGCGCCACGAGCCCGCCGGGGGTGACCGTGCTGGCCCAGATAGGCAGTCCGCAGTACTGGGCAGATGCACAACGCTTCGCGGCAGACTCGGCCAAACCAAGGCGCTCGAGACAACGCGTAGGAGCTCGTCGCTGGACGCCACGAGTATGCTAGGTGGGTGCCCGTGCTGGCCCAAGCAGGCAGTCCGAAGCATGGGGCAGACGCACACCCCTTCGCGGCAGACTCGGCCAGAGAAGTGCGGCCGGCTGTCTCCGGGCCGTCTCGGGGCCGCCTGGCGGGCCTGCTGTGCCATCTTGGGGCCCCTCATGAGCCGTGTCGGGCCAAGCGTGCGACCCTCGCGGAGTGCGCCACGCGTGCCAGGTGCGCCGCCCGCAAAAGGTGCGCCCGGGGGCCCAACGGCCCCACGCGTGCCACGCGCCCCAGGTGCTCCAGATGTGCCAGGCGCGTCACGCTTTCCGCGTGCGCCACCTGCTCCCGCGGCGCCGGTCGCGCCAGGTGCGCCAGCGCACGTCGCAGCACACGCATGGTCGACCCCCCGACGACCCGTTGCAGAAGCAGTTGCGCATGCGTGGCGGGGTGGTCAGCATTGAGGTGTGTTTGTTTGTTTGTTTGTTATGTTTGCCTGCTTGCTTGCTTGTTTGTTTGTTTGGTTGTGCGTGCGTGTGTGTGTGTGGTGTGTGTGTGTGTGTGCTTGCTTTGTTTGTTTGTTTGTTTGATTGTGTGTGTGTGTGTCCGTGTCCAGCGCCCCTGGGCCGCTCGACCGACCCGCGCGCACGCCCGGTCCGCGACAAAGTGTGTGTGTGTGTGCATGTGCGTGTGCGTGTGTGCGTGTGTGTGTGTTTGTGCGTATGTGCGTTCGTGTGTTTGTGTGTGTGTGTGCGTGTGCGTGTGCGTGTGTGTGTGTGCATGTGTGTGTATGCGTGTGTGTGTGTGTGTGTATGGCCGCACACACTTGGTCGACCGCCCGTCAACCCGTGTCAGAAACAGTTTTGAATTCGTGGCGGGGTGGTCTGCATTGGGGTGCGTTTGTTTGTTTGTTTGCTTGTTCGCTTGTTTGTTTGTTTGTTTGTTTGTTTGTTTGTGTGCCCGTGTCCAGCGCTTCTGGGCCGCTCGACCGGCTCGCGCGCGCTCGCGGGGCCCGCGACAAATGGTGTGTGTGCGTGCGTGTGCGTGTGCGCGTGCGCGTGCGCGTGCGCATGCGTGCGTGCGTGCGTGCGTGTGTGTGTGTGTGTGTGTATGTGTGTGTGTGTGTGTGCGCGTGTGCGTATGCGCGTGCGTGTGTCTGTGTGTGTGTGCGTGTGTGTGTGTGTGTGTGTGTGTATGTGTAAGTGTGTGTGTGTGCGTGTGCGTGTGCGTGTGCGTGTGCGTGTGTGTGTGTGTGTGCGTGTGCGTGTGCGTGTGCGTGTGTGTGTGTGTATGTGTGCGTGTGTGTGTGTGTGTGTGGCCGCACATCGACCCCCCCGACACTCCGTGTCAGAAGCGGTTGCGCATGCGTGGCGGGGTGGTCAGCATTGGGGTGCGTTTGTTTGCTTGTTTGTTTGTTTGTTTGTTTGTTTGTGTGTGTGCCCGTGTCCAGCGCCTCTTGGCCGCTCGACCGACTCGCGCGCGCTCGCTGGGCCCGCGACAAAGTGTGTGTGTGTGCGTGTGTGTGTGTGTGTGTGTGTGCGCGTGTGTGTGTGTGTGTGTGTGTGCGTGTGCGGGTGTATGTGTGTTCGTGTCGGGGGCAACGATAGGGGCGGACAGGCATAGGGGGGGACGCATCAACCCCCAATCGCACATCGATCGCCGATCGTGGCTCGATAGCCCCAATCCGCTCAGGAAGGCGTGGATTCAGTATCGGGGGCCTACCGCCGATCTATCGACAATGTTTCGTCGATTCCACGTCGATGCATCCCCCCCCCTATGCTAGCCCCACCCTATCGTGGCCCCTAAGCGTGCGTGCGTGCGTGCGTGTGCGTGTGTGTGCCCGCCACGATTTTGCACAGGGTTGTGGCAGGGGTGGTGGGACAGCCCACAAGCAGCAGATATGATTCCCCTCCGCCACCCCTGTCCGATGCAATCTCGAAGTGTTCGCGAGGGTACACACCTCACGATCCAGTTTTTTCCGCCGCGTGCGGTCTGTACGCCTTTCTGTTGTGGGGATGGCGGGGGGGGGGGCCCGCATGGTTCTTGGCTGTCGGTCGGTCGAGTAGCGGGGAACCCTTCCCGAAGGGGAAATGGAGTTTGGAAGAAGAAGGACAATAATTATAATCAGAGAATTTGAAGAAGGACAAGAAGAGAAGAATAATAAGAAGACAAATAATAATAACATTAATAATAGTAATACTAATAATGATAATAATAATACGAATACTAATAATAGTAATAATAATAAGAAGAATAATTATAATAGTACTGATAATAATAATAATAATGAAACACGCAACGGGCAATAAGCTCTCCGCACCATCTGCGCTCAGAGAACTGTGGGATGGGCGTCTGTCGGCCTAGTGGGGGATGCGAGACGGTGGGAAACGGTCTCACGCGCCTGGTGGCCCCAAGGCGGTCGGTGGACCTGAGGCTGTGCATTGTGAGCGTGTCGAAGGCAATGCAGGCTGAGGGGCATGGATTTGAGGTGTTCCTCGCGTTCCAAGAGGACATCGACGGTGCCGACATTGAGCAAATCGAGGAGGACGCGCGGTCCACGTTCGGCGGTAGCGCCGTTAGGGCCATCACGGCAGAGAACAGGGGAGCAGACATCGGGCTCCTGCTCCACCAGCTCCTGGTCCTCGGCGGTGAGCCAGCAGGGCACCACTACGACGTGTTCCTGAAGGTCCACACCAAGAGCAACGACACCTACCGGAGGAAGTGGCTGGGAGACCTTTGCGGAACCACCAACCAGACTCGCAGGGTGTACCGCCAGCTCCGGAAACAGCACTATCCACTGGGTATGGTGGGCCCTGCATCCAGTGTCGCGCTGTATCCCGAGCCGTTGACGGATTTCACTGGAAAGGTGTGGGAGGGCGTCTGGGGAGATGTTGACATTGATGCAATGCGGAGAACGTGGTACATAATGCAGCCCTGCGTTCCTTTTAGTATTGCCTTGGACACGGCTCGCGTCATCGCAGGGTCTTTCTATTGGGCTCGTCACACGGCTGTGCTGTACAAGGTTATCTTAAATTCAGTGACCAGGCTTTTAGAGACGATGCCCCATGGGTACAAAACGATGTCGACGGGTCAGACCTCGCATGCGCTCGAACGGTTGATGCCAGGGATGGCTGTGGGCATCCAGGGGATGTCCGTCGCCTCTGTGGACCAGCTCGACCTGACCTCATTTCCAGAGACCTGGAGTGACAAAGAGCGCTCCAGACCAAAATGTCTTTTCTCGCGTGTGCCTCGTGTGTGCGCGCGCGTGCGTGCGTGTGTGTGTGTGTGTGTGTGTGTGTGTGTGTGTGTATGTGTGCGTGTGTGTGTATGTGTGTGTGTTGGGGGGGGCGTGTGTGTGTGTGTTTGTGTGTGTATGTACGTATACGTGTTTGTATATATATATAATGTTATGAAAGATCCGAATCCTATATTTTCACTACCCAGACCCCCACCCCTAAACAAGACCCCCCCCCAGGGACGCCCCGGTCGCCCTTTCGGACGTCTCGGTGGCCCCCTGGACGTCCTTGGAAAAGGTCCGCAGGCCTTTCCGGGCCTCCCAGGGCGCAGGGCGCCTTGCCGGGCCTTGCGAGCAGACTCAACGCGATCAGAGGGGTCATCAGAAAGGCGCAAGAGAGACCCAAGACAGCACAAGAACGCTCCAGGAGGAACCTCGATGGTTTGAAGCAAGAGGCCCTCAAGACGCCCCAAGAGGCCGTTGAGAGAGCCCAGAAGGAGCAAGTATCGTCCTATTCCCTCAGGAGGATGTATATTTTTAGCATCTCCGCTGGTTGGGTCTTCGCGGCGTCCAAGACGGCCCGATGGGCAAGAGGTCCTTCAGAGGGTTTGAAGACGACCCAAAAGGGCCCCAAGACTGCCCCGGAGCTCCCCAAGACGGCCCAAGAAGGCCCCAGGACGGCCCAAGAGGACCCCAGGACGGCCCAAAAGAGCCCCCCAAACGCCCAGGCGGCGTTTTCCTACGAAGTACATCGAGCTGACCCGAAGACCTTGGTTCCACGCTGGAGGCTCGAGGTCTAAATTCCTCGATCGAGAGAAAGGCAATGGATCTATATTCGAAGTTCGACGATCGAAGATCTCCTGGGTGCCTGGAGCCCTCCATGCATTCAGGGAGTGACCCAATATCGATTTGTTCGGAGCTACTGCGACTTCTTCGGCGTGTGATGGGAACGCTCTGTTCTTCCTTAAATGATGGACTCAACCACCAGAGGAGGCGGCAGAGGAGGAAAGGAGGAGGAAGGGATGGGTAGGGGTCAACCTTGGAGGACCCTCGCGCGTAATATAATCATCATCTCCTGAGCGCAAGCGTGCAAGCGCAACGGGCGAACGCGGTGACAGCAGGCACAAGGGATATCAGAAAAATGAGCCAGTCGCCCGTCCATGCCTCGGGGTACCCCCTGCTGAATTAAGCGATGATTTATTGTTTTGCCAGGGAAGCGTCCGGAACAAGGCGTATGGCGCGAAACGCCAATGCAGTTTTGTATATACATGTACACATATATGTATATGTATATATGTGTGCGTAAATATACATAGAAATAGGCCGGTAAATCGATTGACATACACATAGATTGATAGAAGACGCCTTCGGCGAATCACCGCCGCCCCCTGCCTTCTGGGAGCGCCTACGTGGCCGAACGTTGCGGCCAGAACTCGGCCAAGCTATCGGACAATGTCTTCCCCCAGCCATTGTGGGAACCCTTTGGGAACACGTGGGGGACAAAGAAGAAAAAGGGAGTGAGGGAGGAACAAGGGGGAGGAGGCCTCTTGTTTGCTCATGTGGAGGTCTGGGGCCGTTCCTGCCTCGTGTGATGTTGTCAGGAGCTGTCTTTAGAGCGCCTTTGGGCCGTATTGGAGCCCCTTTGGGGCGCTTCGGGGCCGCCGTGGAAGCACTCTTTGTGCGGCTTGGAGGCCTGCGTGTTCAAAATTGATAGGTGCGTTTCGGTGCGGTCGCGCCCTGGTGCCCGCGAGAAGCCTCTCGTATCTACTGCTCTGCTACGACGACAAAGTAGATATGCATTTTAGATGCACGCCCCCCCAACCTGCACGGGGGCGCCGCCGTACCTAGACGGATCTCATATTTTAGTATACCCAACAATTGAAACCGCTTATGTTTCGCCAAGAGAACCTGTTTATTATCTATGGTTCAAATAATGGCAGGGCCGGGCCGTATCTATTCGTGTTTACTTCTGTCAGAAAGGACGTTTTTTGCTGTGCTCTCGGAGCGAACAGGATGTATGATACTGGTCGGAACAATGAGCAATGGGTTTGGGATGGTGGGATGCCGAAGCGATGAGGAGTGAGGGGACGCGCGACGACGACAAAGACGACAAGGAGCAGGATATATGACAACGATGAAGCGGAATTGATGAGATAATTGGGAAGGAGCAGGGGGCCGTAGGATGGGGAGAGCAAAGAGGAGAAGGGCACGGAGGACGAAGACGAGGAACATGCGTCAACTTGAAGGTGAGCGCGGGGGTGGTGCAGGCAAGAAGAAGAGAAAATGAGCACCGCGGAGGGCGGATGAGGAGGATCCACGAGGAGTCGGGGGCGAGAGTAGTCGATCGTGGGCGTGCGCTGAGGACTCGAGGGACGATTGCGATGGCGGTGATGGGGATAACGAGGAGGAGCATGAGGGTGAGCATTGCGGGGGGATGCCGGGGAGGTTGACCAACATGGGCAGTAAAACACGGGACCCTTGAGGGCGAACTTGGGAGGAGTTCGGGGGAGGAGGCGGAACAGATATGCAAAGACGAATCAAAGGTGTGAGGGGGATATTAATTTCGATGAGTGTGCAGAAGGAACATGCTGTGGAGGCACGGCGAGGAGTGATTCGGACGATGGGCGTGGACGAGGAGGAGGATGAAGGTGCGCGGCGACGAGGCAAGAAGAGCGAGGTGGAATAGGGGGGAGAGTCCGGATGACAACGTGGAACAGGGAGAGTCAGGACGGGGATGAAGTAGAACAGCGGTTGCAGAGAATGGCTCCTCTGCGTCTTCCCCCTCGTCACCGTGATCGTTCGGCTCGCCCGCCGCCCCCCCCATCCCATCGTTTTGTCATGATTTCCCACTTCCTCCTCCTCCTCATTGTTGTCGTCCTGACTGGCAGTGCATTGTCTTCCCTCTTCGTGGTCATAGAGCTGCCTCGGCATGGCAGTGGAGACATGACGCTGTACCCATTCGTATCTGTTTTTGGTAGGCATGTCTTCCAGCGATGGGCGCCACATTGAACCGTATCTAAACATACATAGCTATAAATGTACATAATCATATTTGGTCGTATCTAAAAATAGTCCGTATATGGAAAAAGTACGAACCCACACACCTTCCGTACCTATTCATGCTTAAGCAATAAACAAGCGTATTTAAACGTATTTATGCTTGAAGTCTATTTGTCCGCGTCTAACTCTCGAAAGGAAGCGCTGTACATCGCGTCTGGTACACGGAGGATTTTTAGATATCGCGCGGCCTTTTGACTGCAGCTGCCGTTGGGGAAATGAGCAACCACAGTAATTTCTTAGATATGTTCTCTGGGGATTTTGGTTTGTTTGGGGGGTCTCTCTTGGTTCTCGCGCCATTGGATCACCCTGCAATGGAAAAAAAAGGGGGGTGCTCGCAGACCCCCCCCCCTCACCCCCTTCAACGGGCGATGAGATTTTCGCCCCCCCCCCCTCCTTCCCCCTCTTAATGGGGGAGGGGTCAGAACCCCCCCCCTCCCCACCTCCCCCATGAGGAGGGGCGGGGGGGGTCTGGACCCCCCCCCCTCCACCCCTTGGGTCTGGAAAGGGGGGGGGTTGGAAGGGAGGGGGGTTCCCGTAGTGGGTCGTGAGTAGTGGGTGGTGAGTAGTGAGGGGTGAGTAGTGGGTAGTGGATCGTGAATAGTGACTAGTGAGTAGGGAGTAGTGAGTAGTGAGTAGAGAGTTGCGAGTAGTGGCGAGTAGTGAGGTGTGTGTGTAGTGTGTAGTGAGTAGTGACTAGTGCGTAGTGATGAATGAGTAGTGAGTAGTGGGTAGTGGGTACGGGGTAGTGGGTACTGGGTAGTGAGTGGTGAGTAACGAGTAGGGAGTTGCGCGGGGTGAGTAGTGAGTAGCGAGCGGAGCGCTGCGCGTAGTGAGTAGTGAGGAGGGAGTAGACAGAAGTGAGTAGTAAGGAGTAGTGAGTAGCGAGTCGGGGGTAGCGAGTAGTGAATTGTGAGTAGTGCGTAGTGAGTAGGGAGTAGTAAGTAGTGAGTAGTGAGAAGCGAGAAGTGGGCAGTGAGTCGTGGGTAGTGAGTCGTGGGTAGTGACTAGGGAGTAGCGAGTACAGAATAGAGAGTAGTGAGTTGTGAGTCGTGAGTAGTGAGTAGTTAGTAGTGAGTGGTGAGTAGTGACAAGTGACTAGTGAGTAGGAAGCAGGGAGTAGGGAGTAGTGAGTAGTTAGTAGTGGGTAGATAGTAGCGAGTAGTGGGCAATGTATGATGCCTCTGGGGTAGCGAGTAGGGAGTAGCGAGTAGTGAGAAGTGAGTAGTGAGTGGTGAGTAATGCGTAGGTAGTACGGAGTAGCGAGTAGCGAGCAGTGGATCGTGAGTAGTGTGTCGTGGGAAGTGAGTAGTGAGTAGTGACTTGTGAGTAGCCAGTAGTGAATAGTGGATAGTGGTTAGTCGGTAGTGAGTAGTGATTAGTGAGTAGTGAGTAGTCGGCGGTGAGTAGTGTTCAGTGAGTAGTGAGTATTGAGTAGTGGGCAGTGAGTAGTGAGTAGTGAGTGGTGTGTTGGGAGTAGTGGGTAGGGAGTAGTGAGTAGTGAGTAGTGGGTAGTGGGTAGTGAGTAGTGCGTAGGGAGTCGTGAGTAGTGAGTAGTGAGTAGTGAGAAGTGAGTAGTGAGTGGCGAGTAGTGGGTAGTGAGTAGTGAGTAATGAGTAGTGAATACTGCTGGGGGCTAGGGTTAGGGTTTGGGGTTCGGGTTCGGAGTGAGGGTAAGTGTGAGGATTAGTGTTGAGTGTGGTAGGGGTCGGGTTGCGGAGCCATGGGGCGCCGTGGCGGAAGGGGGTGGGTCGAATTTGGCGGCCACAGGGGGGGAGGGGGGAGGGAATGTCCTGACCCTCCCCTTCCTTTTGAAAGGGGGGGGGGGGGGGGGGGTCCCCGACGACGGACCGGGAAAGGGGGGGGAGGGGGGGGTTCCGACGGCGGGACCGGTTAAGGGGGGGGGGAGGGGGGGAGGTCCTCCCGACGACGGATCGGGGACAACGGGGGGGAGGGGTCCCCCCCCCCCCCATTGGGGGGATCCAGCAGCGGCGCGCATTCCTTTTTTTGGGCGAGCTTGAGCCGTCTTGGGCAGTCGGAAGGCCGAGCAGAAACGAATTCCAAAATCTCCAAAACAATTGAGCAGAGTCAATGACGTTGGCCTTGTCGGGCCTTCCTGGAGGACCCCTTGGAGGCATCATGGACCGTTTTGAAGGCGTCTTGGGGGCCTCCTTGGTCCATCTCTGGCCATTTTGAGGCCAATCTCGGGCCGTCTGGGGTGCATCTTGGGCCATCCTGGGTGCATCTTGGGGCCATGCGAGGCCTTGCTGGGGCCATCTTGGCTCTCCAGGGGGCGTCGAAAACCGTCTTGGAAGTGCTCTTTAGCCACCTTGGCCGTCTAATAGGGGTGTTGTTTTCGTGGACGCTGAGACCTTTCCAGGTCCTTCTGGGTGGCCGACGCGATCGGCGGATACCCCGCGGCAAAGTCTTACAAGAGGACGGACCAAGACGCTCCAGTATATTCTTTACATGCCGCGCACCCCTGCGGCAAGACCGCGTGGGACGTTCCAAAAAGGGCCTGAGTTTCGAGGATCGAGGGAGTTGTCGGCGCTTTCGCGCGGAAGGGTCGCAGAAGGTCGGCGGAAGTAAAGCGAGGCCGCCTCCGCTGGCGGAAGCCGGCGGAAGCTCGGCGGACGGTTGCGGAAATGAGAAATTCGCCCCCAAGAGATGACAACGTTTTGGGGTTCCGGGTTTCCGAAGTCGCCCACCTGGGGGCGGGGCGGTGGATCGAAGACGCTTGCGGCGAATCCCCGTCGCCCGATGCCTCTCTGGGAATCGTTCATGCGGCCACACTTAGGGCGGAAGTTTGGCCAAGCTGTTGGACCTGTGTTCCTCCAGTTGTGACGGCCCCTTGGGGGAACTCTTGGGTTCAGAGCCAATTTGGGGGCCTTCGGAGGGCGATGTCGGCTTCAAGACACGTCCAACAGACAATTTCGACGTCCAAACGACGCCAGGAGACGATGGCCTAGACGTGCCCAAGACGGGCCAAGATAGCGTCACAAGCGTTCGCAGACGCATCTCAGGCGGCTCCCGAGATGATACCATAGCTTGTGCATGAGTTTAGCGTACGTGTTCGTTTTTGGTCATCGGTGCGTTCGGGCTGGCCCAAGAGGCACCCACTATCACCCACAGACGGCCCAAGAGGGCGTCAAGAAGGCTTTGTAGAGGGGCCTGAGAGGGCCCAAGAGGGCCTCCAGATGCCGCAACTAGACTTCCTGGAGAGGGGCAAGGCGGCCCAGAGGGCCCAAGATGGGTCCAAGACGACCCCAAGACGACCCCCAGAGACGCCCAAGACGGCCCATAAGGAACCAAAATGGCCCAAGAGGGCGCCATGACGGACCAAGATGCCCCCGAGACGGCGTCAAAATGGTTCCAAAAGAACCCCGGTAACCCCAAGGAGAGCTTTCGAACGGCCCCGAGAGACGCCCAAGACGCTCCCTCTGTTATGTGCCCATGGGGATGCAAGACGACCCAGAGACAGTTGTAAGTGGCCAGGACACTTGTCAATACAGCTAAGACCCTGAACAACAAAAACGCTTCAGGCTCAGGAGACCCTTGGATTTTCAGGCAGTTCCTGAGACTCATGTCGTGGAGCCTGTGTGTAGCCTGGGCCAGCCGTGGCCAGGAAAAAAACGTCAGTTCTTCGATCATGCGTTCCTTATACTCTACTCGTAGCACGATGACTGTAATGCCGCAGCTAGTGCTAAGACGCGCCACGATGGCACAAGAGGGGCCGAGGAACCGCTGCGAGGCCCCCCCCAGCTTGTCGCAGGACGCCGGGAGGGCCGCTGGCACCTCTCGCGTCGTGCGAGCGCGCGGAACTGTCCCAAGCGACCCTAAGACACCATTAGGCCGCCACGCGCAGAGGGATGTGTGGGGAAGTCGAAGAAGAAAGCACGCTGTGAGCATAAACTTTTGGCGCTCCGCGCGGATTTCTTGGATCCGCGTTGGGGCCCCCCGGCGGCGCCTGCAGCGCCGCCCCTGGCGCGCTCCGCGCGCCAGGGAGGGGGGCCGGGCGCAGATCCAAGAAATCCGCGCGGAGCGCCAAAAGTTTCTATGGCGTGTTTTTTTTTGGGGGGGGGTGGAGGTGTGGAGTCGTCTTAGAAGGACCCCTGTACAATGCCCGCGCCTTCTAATAAGCAGGCTCCTTCTAAGAAGCCTTCCCCCCATCCCCTACCCCCTTGTGCGCTGCTCTAAATGAAGCTGTGTCTCCCGGTTTTGCGGGGCTGGCGCAGAGTCGGGGAGTCGATCGAAGGGGCACTACCATATCAGAAGGCGTTTCGTGCTCCTCATATCCTTGCTCGCTCAGGGCTCCGCGGAGACCACTCCCAGTCTGGCTGGGGAAGCAGTCGCGTCCTTCCTTATGCTTCAGGTCCCGTGCAGCGAGACTTTGGCTGCCCGCCTACGGCCCCGGTGGGCTCAAGCTGCGGGCTCGCAGCTGCAATCTGCTCGTCGCTCTGCCCCCCGCCGCGAGCGTCTCCTTCGCCCACCGTCCAGAAGCTGGGCACGCCATGGCGGGCGGCCTCGGCGGCGAGGCCAGCGGCTCTGGCGAGGGCACCTACACCGTCTTCGACTGCTGCCTGGGCGGCGCGCCCTTCGAGGCGCGCACGCTGCACGAGGCGGTGCACAGCTGGGCGGACGCGCTGCACGAGCACGCGGCCCTCGCGAACGGAGGCGGCGGCCTGCGGGCCGGCCTGGCCCTGGTGCAGCGCACGGGCACGGCGGAGGTGCTGCCGTGGGGCTTCCACGCCGCCGCGGCGCTGCGCGCGGCCGCCCAGCGCCTGCAGGCCTGGGCGGCGGCGGGCGAGCTCGAGTCCGGCGGCGCCGCGGGGGCGAGCGGTGCGGGCGACGGCGAGGGCTGCCTGCTCGAGGCGCTCGGGGGCGTCCGGCAGAGGCTCCTCGCACACGCGCAGGCTCACCCCGGGGAGCCCGGGGCCCGCCACGTGCGGGTGGAGGTCTGGAGCTTGCGGGCCGAGGTCAGGGCGCCGCTGCTGCGCCACCGCGCCTCAGGTGTGGCGGGAGGCCAGCCCGGGGCCCCGGCCATCAGCGTGGCGCTGGTGAGCCTCGGCGGTGGCGGTGGGGCCCCGTGCTGCGAGGTGGCGCCCAGTGACCTCGAGGTCATCCAGGTCGCTCCCTCGAGCGCCGACGTTCGGAGGCACTTCAGGCGGCTGCTGTCGGGCTGGATGGCGGCGGTTGTGGTGATGCCCGCCGCCAAGGCTGGCGTGGCTTCCTGGCGGCCCGCGCGCGCAGCTTGCGTCTGCCTGCCGACGGTGCTTCCTCTGCCCGATCGAGAAGAGTCGGCTCCGATTGCGCCGGTGGAGTTCAACCTCGTGGGGCTGGTGTCTGCCGACGCCGTCGCCCCGTGCCACAGTTATGGGGTGCCGCTGGTGTTGCGGCCGGCCCATGCTCCTGGCGCGCGTGCGTCACTGGAGGCGCTGGCGGCGGGCCTGCAGCTGCGAGGTGCCGTTGGGATCTTCTCGGCTGAGCTGTGCCCAGCAGGCCTGTGCTACAGATCTCAGGCGCAGTTCTTCTTCGCCTCGCCATCGGGGTGCCGTGGCGGCCCGAGGTCCTTGGTCCTGCAGGGGGCGCTGAGCTACAGCGTGGCATCCGCAGCAGTCCCGGTCTCGCTGCCGCGGCCTGACCTCCGCGAGGAGGAGGAGAGGTTCTCGGCGCCGTACTTGGCCCTGGGCAGGTGGCCGCTGGAGCGGGTGTACAACCCGCTCCGCCACTGCCTGGAGCCACCGCTGTGCAGGGTGCTGGCCGAGGAAGCGGACCTCCGAGGGCGTGCGAGGGACGGCGCCAAGATCGGCGGTTCAAAGGTGTGGCCCCGAGGGATGGGGCCCTATGTCGGCGGCGAGCGAGGGGGGAGAGAGAGAAGGAGAAGGTCCTCTCAGAAGGCGGCGGGATTTCTCAGAGGCCCCTCTGGTCTTCTGAGAGGTTCTCTGCGTCTTCGGGGCAGGCTTAGAAAACTTCTCAGAAGGCCGGAGGACTTCGAAGCCTTCTGAGAAGGCCCGCCCCTGCTCATTTCCCCCCAGGCGCGCCGCCGAGTATAGGGATAGGAAAGGAACCTCAAGCTGATCCTTCACACCATTGCGGTGAGTGGCCAAAAGTGCGCCACATACCACTTCAGTCAAGTCGGGCACTTCCCTCTACAGGAGGTAGATTCAAAAATAGAAAAAATAGGATGACATGCCCGACCCAAGACTTCCGCCACCGCGTGGCCCAAAAGGGGTCCGGAGGCGAGAGGCGCCGCCGACGGTGCCTGAAAGCATCTGAGGCCTGGGCAGTGCGTTCTGGCGGCGTGCGGCTGCCTTGGAAGAGCCGCCGCGGAGCTTGAGGTCGGCAGAGGGGAGGGGAAGAGTCACGACAGGAGGGAGGCGACGACGCCGAGGCAAGTCGTCCGTTACGGGGGCTCGTTCTGCCCCCCCCTCCCCCCCTTCCCTGTAACGGCGCCGAACGTACAGTGGAGGCCCATGCCAAGAAACACCCTGCTTGCCTCCAGGGTGCCCTGGGCTTCTTCTTGGTTTTCTGTGGTTCTGCCATGGAGAGCGTGACGCTCCCACTCAAAAGGAAAAGAAACACACAGACACAATTAATCGTCGATTCCCCAGAAAATATAGGAAAATATGGGAAGTGGGGGGGAAGACAAAAACACAGAAAATATAGGAAAGTATGGTGAATCGTTTTATTTGTGTGTATTTATTTGTGTGTCCTAGGGCCCCTTCACCCACGCCGAACACCGATGGACGCCCTGGGGCCTCGGGGCCAGGCTTCCTGTGGAAGGTTTCTTGTGGCCTGGCCTCCACTGCATCACGGCCAGGGCCACGAGGTCTCCCCGGATCTCAGGGTGCCTCCTTCTTCCCTCTGTGTGGCCTTTGGTGCTCGCCGCCACTGTAACGGCATCGAGCGTGCTCGGGGGGGGGGGGGCCGGTTCCCTCCCCCAGAGGCATGGCGTGGTGCTCACAGCCATGTTGTGCTGCTGACGGGCATGTGCAGTGGTGGTCACAGGCGTGCCGACAGTGCTGTGGCGATCGCAGGGCCTCTCCCCCTCTCCTCGTGGACGACGATCAATGGAGAGAACGCGTGCTGCCAAATAGCTTCCAGATGCTCAGGACCGGCCGACGTGTAGGATTGTTAGGGTGTCCACCGACCGACGTGTAGGATTGTCAAGGTGTTCACTGTCATGGCATCCACAACTCTCCCCCCCCGCAGCGGGCACTGCAGGGGTGGAGTCGCAGGACCGCCGACCCTTCGCCTTCGGCGTGTGGAGGAGGCCGTCGTCGTCGTCGTCGTCGTCGTCGTCGTCGTCGTCGTCGTCGTCGTCGTCGTCGTCGTCGTCGTCAGGAAAAGGAGCGTCGCAGTTGAGGTCGGCGGCGCGCCTGGGGGGAAGTGAGAAGGGGGGCGGGCCTTCTCAGAAGGCTCGGAAGCCCCCCGGCCTTCTGAGAACTTTTCCAAGCCTGCCCCGAAGACACAGAACACTCCCCAGAAGGCCGGAGGGGGTTCCTGAGAGGGCGGCAAGGAGGGGAAGCGATAAGGAGAAGGCTCCTCTTTCTCTCTTCCCCCCCCAGACCCTCGACGTCATGATTGTTTCGCGACGTGCCCCTCAGAAGTGCGGAGCCTTTCCCGGGAACCCGTTCTGCATCCCGAGTCGTTTTTTGACGGTCCCGAGGACCGGCGAGGGCCCCCGGGAGGCCGAAAGCCGCGAAAAACGCCTCCCGCCCGGATTTTTTCGCGACGCGAGCGAGGGGGGCTGGGCCCCTCGCGATCGCCGCCGAGATGTACGTGTCGAGGGACGCCGCAGGGAAGCCGCAGGCCTCCGGCGGCCCACCTTCGAGCCGCCGGCGAGAAGCGCCGCCCGCCCGCGGCGGCGGCCCCGCCCGAGCGTGCGGCGGCCTCGGCCCCGCGCCCCGCCGCCGCTGGGCGCGGCAGGGGCCGCGGCGGCGGGCGCGGCCGGCGCGGCCGCGGCGCCGCGCCGCGCGGCGGGCCCGCGGCGGCGGCGGCGGAGCTCGTGGAGGACGCCGTGGAGGAGACGCTCCTGGCGGAATCGCAGCAGTGGCAAAGCGTCGTGGCCTCCTCTACAGTGGAGGCTCCCAGAGGTCCGCCCAGACCTCCTTGGGTCGGCGCTGGGCCCACCGATCTTTCCCCCGCGCGCGGAGCGCGCCAGGGTTGGCGCATGGGGGCGGTGCCAGAGGAGGAGGGGGAGTGGGAGTAGAAGGAGGAGAGGAGGAGGAGGAGG